CAAGATTCCTGCTCAGCCAAGCCAGCCTTTTGGCACACCTGCATGAGTTCTGATATTTTAAAATTGTCTGCTCTCATGCTTTTAACAGGTATTACTTAAAAAATGACCAGCACTCCTGAACCCTTCAAAAGCAGTTTCCCTGTGGACCTTGCTAACTAGTTCCCTGAGCAGCCTGAAGTCTGCTTTCCCCAAATGCCGGGTTGAAGTTGTGGTGACCGTCTTCCGCTCATCATCATAGATTTTAGGCTGGACTACTTCATGGTCAATACGGCCATGAAATAAAGCCACCAGTCACCACTTCATCCACAAGACATTCTCTGCTTACAAGCAACAAATCTAGGAGTGTGCCTTTCCTAGTTGGCTGCCTTTTTACCTTTATCAGGAAGTTTTAGAAATCTCCTGGACCTGGTTGTCTGAGCTGTGTGGTATTCCCAGTTAATGTCTGGCAAGTTGAAGTCACCTAAAAGGACAGAGCATCTGATCCAGAGTTATCTCTTAGCACAGTCCTGCAACATCTGCTTGAGAAAGGTCTGTCTCAAACAAACTGCAGTCCTCTCTTGACTTCCATGTTGATTCATGTGAAAGTGCCTGTCTGTGCACCTAAAATGAAGTTGAGACCTTGCATTATGGGACCTGAGTCCTGTGGCAAATCCTGTTGGCAATCTAGATAGGTTGACTACTAAGGGAAAGTCCCACACTGAGGTAGGTTATGCAACTCACAGGAGTGTGGGTCAGAGCACTGGTTCAATGCTCAGATGCCATGAATAATCCTAACAACAGACAATTTTAATATCTTGTAATATCACATTCACTATCACTATATCATCTATTACTTAAGTAAACTCTGGTAGTGGAGTGATGAGCTCCTGTTGTAAACAAAACATTACCAAGAATCCCCCCACTCTAATCATGCAAAGCATCTGCAGAAGACAGATCATATTTTCTATTATTTTCATTAGTAAGCTTTTTTACTAAACTTATAGTAGTCAGAAAATCAGATTGCTCAGCTACTATTTTTCCTTGCACTCTTTATTCCTTGCATGAATTCACAGAATGGGAAAAACTGCCCAACTCATACTCATGTTCAGGATTAGTATTTGTAGAGATGTGAAATTATCTAAACAGCAATGACGAGGATCTGACTGAAAAGTAGAAAAAGAAAGATAACAAGTGATTGTCTCAGCATTCTAGCAGTCCACATTCAGATTATACTGAGAAATCCTTTACAAGAGTAGGTAGTGTGCAGGTGGATCAAAACTGGACTATTCAAAGTGCTAATGAAGAAATAATGCAGCAATGTGACTTTCTACATCTTCCTGTTTCCATCATATTAGTGCTACTAAGCAGACCAGGATGCTACATGTGAGAAATGAGAGAACAAGAGGCAAAGAGTTGTTTCCTTTCTGTCACCCACTAATTAATGTGGTTTCCATGTTAAGCAGACTCAGAATGGGCAGGGAAAAGAAGTAGAAAGAATGAATTAGGTGTATTACAAAAGGATTCAAAAAGCAAGAGGACAGAATCTTATGATGCCATCCAAAAAATGATTGAATATATTAAACAAGAAACAGAGATAGGAGGTAAGATTGCTCAAGGTCATAGCAAACTCTAAAATCAGAAACAAAACTGAATATATTACTAGTTCACTTTACTGAAAGAGGCTTGTGTAACCATGCCAAATTTTCAGTGCTCATTGGTAGACTGTTTCTCTAGGGGTCTCTGAAGTTATGATGCTGGCAGGGTACTGCTTCTCAGCTGCATTGATGTAGTTTTACATGAAAGCATGGGCAGGTTCTTTTTCTGCAAGCTCTCAGTTCAGAAACATAATAAAAGCAATACCTCAATTTCTTCTTTTTTATTTTTTAATGAAGGTAATGATCTGGCATATAACTTATTCTTGTAAGGTATGTTAGATGAATTGATTACTCAATCACCTACCTACCTAAAAGCTTAATTTAAAATAGAAGATGCTTCCTTCATTCAGATCTCATCAAATTTGCTTTAAAAGCTTCTGTAGTGAAATATATATATATTTTAATTTAAGTATGTAAGTATGTTTCAAGCTAAAATATTTATCAAATTACATTAAAATGTTTAATTAATATATACCATTTATGCATTAAGGTGGGGCAAGCCAACTGTCATTTACAGTGAGTTTCAGTAAAAATGCCATACAGACACACTCCTACTTAGCTGTGTGTGTATTTTTGTATACATGAATTAATTCTTTTTTTTTTTTTTTTTTTTTTCCTTCAGAGTCTGTTATAAATACAGAAGTGGCTGCCAAGAAAATATGCTAATAAATGAATAAATCAAACAAATTTTGGTTGACTTATCTAGTGATAGGCAGCACTGTTAAAATGCCAGCTGCCACATGAGGAAAGAGGTCGAGCTGTCCTACTGCCACAATGCAGCAGAGCTAAAGGTAGAACTAGCTGATCATATGTAACTTTAGTTTTACCAAAAGGGAGAAAAAGCAGTGAAGGTCATTTGTATGGTTCTAAGAGGACTTCAAAGTTACATATTTTTGTTTGAATCTCAACTCTGGTTGTTAGTCATGACAGCAGAAGAGCTACTGTTCAGTCCTTGCCTGTAAACTGGATGCATGAATCTATCTGTTCAACCAAATAACAGATGAGTGTAATAGAAGGTCTTTTCTTTCTCTGTCATTTACTGCTGGCTGCTCTTTCATTATGTCCTGCCCAAAGAAGACTACAAGTTACATGAATATGTAAACCTGTAAGGAATAAGAAATACATCTGCTATAAAAATATATCATTAAAAAAAAATAAAAAAAATCTATCCAAGACCAATAAAATAAAAATATCACAAATAAGAGGTAGTGAAAAACCTGGAAGTCTCAGTGGAAATCTTTCAGAAATAATTCATGGAAATAATCTTGATCTGAGAAAATCAGATGTAAGCATTCTGTAAGTAATAATAAAATAAAGTCTCATCTATTTTTATTGGAAGAAGAAAGAAAAATGCTGTAAATGTATTTTGATACCACTCTGACTAAATTGTTTTTGTATTCCCACAACATCTGTCAAATGATGCATCAGATCTTCTCACAGAACATGACACTGCTTGACATGAAGACACAAGACAGCAGGTTGTGTCTGAGCACTGTGCAGTACATGGCTCTGGGTGGCTGCAGGCAGCTCTGCTTCTCTAGAAGCCTCAATGACGGGGATGTGCACAGCTGCAAGTTCTTTTCTCCGTGACACCATATTCCCTCTGTGCAGTGAGCCATCACATTTCAAGTCAAGCTGGCCAGCACAAAAGGTCATGGAGCTGGAGAGAGGATGGGACATCTCTTCCCTGCTGACATACAGGGGATTTTTCAAAGCAGTTGAGTCCAATATATTGTGCTGTCAAGAGGTGCAACTGATGCTCAGTGTGTTAGTTTTCTAATTGAACAAGGCGGTTCTCATTGTTTCAGGGGCTATCCCTGTATGCAGTTCAGATGGAATGTGGGCTCTTGATTTAAATAGAAGGATGTCTAAGAAAACCAGTTTAATGATCTTCAGTTCTTATTAGTACCAAATAACAGGACTGCTCTGAAAGTAATGCCTCATATTTTATTATGAGGCAGAAGCAGATGCTGGTGGTATGATAGCAAAGGCTGAACCTTCCTGACAGCATCCTGCCCACTTTGTTGCCGTGCAACAGATGGCAGTAGAGGGGCAGTCTGACAAAATGGTATCTGATGTGGAAGTGCGTATGAAGCAAAAGTGTGGAATTCCTGCATGTATTAAAATTTGTAACCACTGACACTTGCTGATGCTTGCTGAACATTTATGGAAATCAAATGGTGCCTATGAACACAGTGAGGCAGAGGGTGGTGCATTTCAGCAGTGATGACAATGATCTGAAAAACAGGCCACATTCTGGGCAGCCATGCAGATTTTTACAAACATAGCATGCAGATTTTGTTCATTGCTGGTGAAAATACATAGTTAGTGGTGATGACTATGTTGAAAATAAGTGTTTTCTAGATGAGAATTTATCAAATAGTGTTATTGTTCTCTTTGTATCTGTTGTAGTTTTCATGGAAGTAAGTAGGAGGCGTTATTTTTGGAGTGACCTATGTATATGGAAGTTTGCATCATCTTTTAGTAATGATCCTTCCCCAAATGCTTTTCAAGATAAGAAGGGTAAATGGGGATTTTGCAACAAGTTTGAGGGTATGTTCATTCTTGGATGGTCCTCCATCAAGTTTAATGGCTTGTTAAAGATGAAGAGTCTACTGGAGCTCCTCACAGAACCAAGATCATAATTTAGGTGGGCAAGGATGTGCCAGTGAGCTTTTACTGTTTTTTTGTTGTCGTTGTTTGTTTGTGGTTTTGTTTGTTTTTTTCTAGCTGAGGCTCTGATCTTTCACACAAGTGCATGGAGTTTTACTTGCAAGCAGAGCATGTTACGAAGTTCTTATTTTTGGAGGAAGGGTCCAATGCAGTGATTTAATCAAGCAGAAAAATGGTGTGATTCTCTCAAGCTGCATAGACAAAAATATCTTCAATGCTGCAAACACCACTTTCTAAGCAGACACTTGTGTCACCACAGAATCACAGACCAGCAGAGGTTGGCAGGGCCCTCTGGGCCCATCGGGACACAGAGGGGACACACAGCAGGGTGCCCAGCATCAGGTCCAGGCAGCTTCTGAAGATCTGAGAGGAGACCCCGCAGCCTCTTGCCAGCCCGTGCTGCTGCTCTGTCATCTGCACAACACAGAAGTGCTCCCGGTGTTCAGAGGGGACCTCCTGTGTTCCAATCTGTATCCACCGTCTCTTGTCCTGACGCTGGGCACCTGTGAAATGAGTCCAGCTCTGTCGTCTTTGCACCCTCGATCAGCTATTTATGAACACTGTGAGATCCCCCTTTGCTTTCTGCACAGTCTCCCCCTCTGCAATATTCCACGCCCCACTTCCCAATAAGTTTGACCCCAATCGCGGCCCGTAGCGAGGCGCTCCCTCCCTCCCCTCTGCGGCAGCTTCGCATGCGCAGAACAGGGGCGCGGGTGCAGCCGTTACGGCGCGTGTGCGGCCGGCTGCGACGCCTGCGCAGTGCCGAACGGCGGCGGGTGTGCAGCCTGCCCGGGGCAGGGGCCGCGGGGCGGGGAGGGGGCGCGGATGGCGGCGGGGCTGCGCTATGTTGCGGTGGCTCGTCGCGTTCCTCAGCCACTCCTGTTTTGTCTCCAAGGGCGGCGGCATGTTCTACGCGGTGCGCAAGGGCCGGCAGACGGGTGTCTACCGCACCTGGTAAGGCCCGAGCGCGGCTTCGCTGCTGGGGATGCTCCGGAAAGCGCGCCGGGCCGGCCTCACTCCTCTCCCGCTGTGTTGCAGGGCGGAGTGCCAGCAGCAGGTGAACAGGTTCCCTTCCGCCAGCTTCAAGAAGTTCGCCACCGAGAAGGAAGCCTGGGCCTTCGTGGGCGCCGGGCCTCCGGGTGGGCAGCAGTCCGTGCCCGCAGGTAGCGTGTCCTCGGGGTGAGGAGGCAGGAAAGGAGGCCCGCAGGGTGCCGCTTCCCCTCGGCTGCTGGTGCAGGAATCCCAACACCAGTAGGGGTGTGTCTGTGCAAGAAAGAAGCATTTCCATAAGCGTATGGATTTGCTTTTGCCATGCCTGTATTTAAGGGCTGTTACGTGTGTCTCTGCTTTGAGATAAGGTAACTGGTGTGCTTGGCTTTTTTTTTTCTTTCCCATAGTTATTTTTCAGGCTTAGCTTAATGGACAAGTGTTACTAATCAGTGAAAGCAAAACTCTTGTCTTTATCACAGAACGATTGAGGTTGGAAAAGATCTCTGAGATCACTTAGTCCAACTGTCTGCTCATCCCCACTGTGCTCAGTGCACCATGTCCTCAAGTGCCACAGAGTGTCACAGAAATCCCCAGTTGGAAGGGGCCTGTAAGGATCATCGAGTCCAATGGCTGTTTCTCTTACCTTGAAAAGCTTTCTTCATCTATACTTTCTTCTAGGATTTATTTTGAATAAAACTTGACCGTGTGTACGTAGGTGAAATTTCTTATTTTGTGTTTGTAGAAGAGACAAGTGGTGCTTCAAGTGTAACGCAGGAAAATGCTAGCCAGAGAGAGGAGCTGGAGGCAGATGTCTTGTGCTGCAATGCATGCAAAAGGCCATATGAACAGTCTACAAATGAAGAACATACTGTAAAGCGTGCAAAACACGATGAAGGGCACTCGACACCAATAGTTGGTGAAGATAAGTTTTCATATATGGGTAAGTTCTTTAGTTATTCCATTAATTCACTTGAGTTCTTTCTCCTCTTTGTATAAAACATTATCATTATTAGAAAGCTTTTAGGGAGGTTTGTGTATGACAACATCAGGCCAAATGCAACCTATCTTTTTAAAATTGAAATCTGACCCATGATGTGTGTTTTTCATTATTATTTTTCTTTGTAACATTAATTGGCTTTAACTGCTATCAAGATGTGGCTTGATTTGTTCACTATATTTGTGGTTTTACATCTGCCTAGGTTACAAACTTGATTTAAGTGCAGATGTAGCTGGGAAGTTTTAACACTGACTGAGGAGGGCAAGACTTATAGTGAGATTATGAAACTTGGCACAAAGATACCTTGTCAGCCTTACTGATCTGGAAGCAATGGGGGGGTGTAGTTGCAGTGGGACTTCTGGTGTTATGCATTACTAATTAAAATCTAGGTACCTCTAGATGATGACATTTGAAGGGCTGCCCAGGGAAGGAAGTTTAGGCATTAATCTATTAGTAGGTGTTTCTTTCTGCTTGAAGAGCCTATGTTTGTGAAGGAATCCTTGAATTTCTGCTTTTGCTGATTCTTTTGTAGGTGAATTTGCAGTTGTTTATACAGATGGCTGTTGCTCAGGTAATGGACGTAACAGGGCACGTGCTGGAATAGGTGTCTACTGGGGACCAGGCCACCCCTTGTAAGTAATTCACTGGGTTCTTTTCTTAGATAGATATGCTGATGTTTGTTTTGGATGTGCTTCACCATGCTGGCCTCTTTTTGAATGTGAAGCCCTGCTGTTGAAACTCATGTTAATGACAGTGCTATTAGAATAACAACTTACCAAGGAAAAACAGAAATCAAATTTTCTAGGAAGTAAGGATGTGGGGAAAAAATGATTGGAAATAATATTTTTAAGTTGCTGAAGCAGATTCAAGGAGTGCAGAAAGTTAAAATAGTTTTGTATGTGTACAAAAGGCAGCAAAAGTAGCTGCATGTTTATGGCGGGTCCAGATATGCAGGTTGCGCTGCGTGGGTGGAAGTTAGACCTTGAATCTCCATTCATCCTTCTTTATGAAAAGAAAATCGTCTCTGCTTTATTTACGATTCTAATGTGTAGTGAATCAGCACTGTTATTTTTGAGTAACTACTGTGTGTTCTTTGGATATAGAAATATCAGTGAAAGACTTCCTGGACGGCAAACTAATCAAAGAGCTGAAATACACGTAAGTAGCAAATGTCCTAAAATACTTCCACATGTAGAAGGCATTATTATACTCAAGTATTTCAAGTCTGGACTTCAGAAGCCAAGTATGGAGCTGTGAGAGAAGTACACAAAATACCAGTTGTAACTTCAGACAAATTGTTTTCTTTAGGTTTTATTGTTCTTTGTTGCTTTCAAATAAGCAATATCTTGAGTATTCCCAGATGTCATCAGGCCAAGCACAGATATTTAAGATTGTCTTGCATTAGGAAAGCCCCGTTCTCAAATCTTTGTATTTTTAATGTCTATGTCTTAGACTTCAGGGAAAGGGCTACTTTTATTGTGGTTAAAAGGATGATTGCCTTCTTACTGTGATAGGGTCAGAATATCATCGTTCTTTGATTATACATAATAAATAATTCTATGCTTAACTTTTGTTACTTTGGAAATAAAGTCTTAACAGCAGATTTAGTTTTCCTTCCCATCTAATCTTAATTCTGGTACTGCAGCTTCCCTGCACTGTGTCTTTGGAGGTAAAATTAGGTGGGAAGCTGACTTGCTTAAAAATTGCAAGAAATTCCTTTCAATGAGGGCCAAGCAGAAGCAATGGAGGTCAGACTTGCTGCTGGAGAGCTTTTCAGTGCAAAGCTGAGGCTATGCCACTTGTCTCTCTCTAATTATTCTATTTCGTGGCACCACTAAAGAATGATTGGAAACAGTTCCAAACATTTGGAGCTGATAGGAATCTTTGCCCTCCAAAGTTATGGAGAAGATGCCTGGAAGCTGATGTGCTGTTAAGAGCCTTGGAGAGCTAAGCAAATGGGCAGAGAGCTGCTCCTGCACTGAAGAACTGAACAACAGATTTTACTTTATTTAACATGTCGGAAACTTAAGTTGCTCTCTGTCTTTCTGATTCATCTCTATTCTAAAACATCTTTGTACTCACTGATGGAGAGACTACAATAATATTCTTCGTAGTTTTTCTGTATTAACATTGGGTACTTTGCTGGTATTTTAGTTACATGTTCCAAATACTGTACTGAACTGTGATTCTATTGAAATGTTCTTAAGGCAGCCTGCAAAGCAATTGAGCAAGCGAAGAGTCAAAATATCAAGAAATTAATTATCTACACTGACAGCAAGTTCACTATTAATGGTAAGTTGATTATTTTAGAGTTCCTGATTCTTGAAGACACATTAAACACAGTTTCATTACATAAGGCACATAGAACATACTGGGTTTGTGGAGACTTCTTATATAAGGAGGAGAACGTATAACTCAATTCTCAAGACTTTTTGGTGAAAAACTTGCAGAATACTGCAAGAATTACCTTCTGTCTGCATGAGATACAGTTAGAGACGATTGCATATAACGGTGAAGAATGACAGAAGTAAATGATTTTTTGTCTTAATGTATCCAGTATGACACATACAGTCTAGAAAAAAAATGTTGTTTGTGGGCCTTCTGTTAAGGAAGTCTTCAAGAGTACTCAGAAGTTGGTGTAGTGACCTCGCAGTTTCATTTTGGTTTGTTTTGACTTCTTGGGTTGGATAAACTATCTATACACAAATATGAGCTATATTTGAGGTTTCCCTCCTTTCCACATATGGATGGCCAGAATGTTAGATTTTGTTCTCTAGAAATCTGCTTATGTGTTCCTTCTCTAAAGTATTCTGTTTAGCCAACAAAAATCTTAAAATATGTGGTCATCTGTTTCTTCTCTGTGCATTTATGTCTTCAGTTTCTAAAAACAAATTTGTTCTAGTTTGTTGTACAATTGAGCAAATCTTTAGCTTCAGTTTGTTGAAGTTCATGTCAAAATTTTGCATGGAATGTGTATATAAAAATGTAATCTTTAAATATCTGTTCAGGAAAACGCTGTTGGTATTTCAAGTAATAATGGGAAAATATAATCGTGAAGACCAAATAAGAATATTTTCTGTTTTTTTGCCTGAGACTTTGTATGGAGTTAATGTATTAACTTGTGAAACAGTTGTTCTTTCATAGCACATTTTATGGTAATACTCTCTTTGCGTAGGCATTACGAGCTGGGTTGAAAACTGGAAAACAAATGGCTGGAGAACAAGTTCAGGAGGAAGCGTGATAAATAAAGAAGATTTTCAAAAACTTGATAGTCTATCAAAAGGCATAGAAATTCAGTGGGTGAGCACCTCATTTCTTTTTCCTAATGACATCCTAAATACTCTTGTAAACTCTCACCGAGTAGGACCATGGCAATGAATTTTATAGTGTATAAGCTGTACATCTATAATTACAATGAATTTAAAGCAAGTGAAATTATCACTTCAGTGTAAGCTAGTCTCTTGTAACCACTATGTGATCTGTTAAAATGCATGTTTGTTTTTTATTGTTTCTTGTTACTACTAAGGAACTGTCTAATAATTATTTCAATTTCTGAAAATGTAAGCTTGGAACATAATAGTGTCTTTTTGAATTGTAACTCCTAAAGTTGCTTATCATAGCTTTTAAGGCTCTTTTGTGCAACTTAATCATACGTCTGCCTTTAAACTGGAAAACTAAGATTATAAACTCAAATCAGCTTAACTCTGGTTGTCTGTACCTTAATGTCTTTTTCCAAGGAAACTGAGCACATAAGGGTCTTTAATGTAAAAAAAAATGGAAAAACAGATATTTGAGTGATGTGTTACACAGCTATGGGTTTTAATGGTGTAGCTTTCTGGGAAAAGTTGGAGACTGAATGTCAGAGAAGTTTTTTTCTTTCTGAAAAAGATCTGAAGGTATGACTTCTGAGTTAGTAACTAAGTGCTGTTTTCTGCGTTTTTTTTTAAAGGCTAAGTTAGGTGCTCCTTAGACAGCTCACTACTTTTTATAAAGATGATTTTCACAATCTGGTGATCCAGTTCTTGATCTTTGAAGAGAGGTAGCAATCATTACTGGAAAGAACACGTAAGGACTTAATGTGAGCTCCTCTACGAAGCTGCTACTATGCTATGAATAGAAGGGCATTATGTGCTCATTTTCTGGATTTCTTTCATGTCTAACACTCCTGTACTTTTGTCCCAACAGATGCATATTCCTGGTCATGCTGGTTTCCAAGGAAATGAGGAAGCTGACAGACTAGCAAGAGAAGGCGCTAGTAAACAAAAGTTGTGACATACTGGGACCAGAGACTGTTGCAATTGGAGGAAAAGGACTAATGTAGCAGTGACAGTTTGAACTGCTGTTGCTTCAGAATTGAACTTTGATCTGTGCTTATTTCTAGCTCAAAGTGCTAAATGTATAACCAACTTTGGGGAGAAAAAAATGCGTTTTCATCTATGCTGTTTGTTTTACAATCAGGTCAATATTTAGTTGATGATAAACTGCTTTTTTCCTTCATTTTACTGAAGTGCTGCTGTCAGTGTTTTTGAGCGGTCTTATAGACTTTTGAATTCACCGTAAAAACAGACTTCAGAAGAAATGATACTAAATCTTTATCCTGTGTGTTCTTTTATTTCCTTCTTATGAAATAAATTATTATTTCTTTTGTACAGAAGTATATATTAATGATGCAGAATTGTTAAGGGAGTGAAGTTGGTTGGATGATTTGATAAGAGATCAATGGTGTGGCATGAAGATGTTTATTAATAAGCTTTGGCATTCTGACAGTAGTATCCTCTTCTCAGATGTCCCAAAGAAGACATTTGGGCATTTTATTTGAGATGGAACTGGGAGATCTGGAGAAGCTGATCATCCAGGTTGTCAAGCATTTGATTTCATTTTTTCTAGTCAGTGATGAGTGGAATGGCTAATGTGCACATTAGACAGTAAATACTGCTGCTCAACAAGTGTTATTTTTTACGTATCTATGCAGGAAAGGGAAACGTGCTATATTGTCTTCGTCAACTATTTTGTAAGGAACCTGAATGTTACTGACAGTAGTGCTTAAGTTAGAAGTCATTGAGGGTTTTTTTTTGTTGTATTTGTTAATGGCTGTATAGATTGTTGGAGCTGCTGAAGCTTGATTTCTTAATGGTTCTCATTCCTTTTAATATCCTTACTCGTGGAAAAATGCATGCTTTTAGGTATTTAGTGTCACGTGAATTGTGATGGAGCTAGGAAACTAGTTAGTCTATTTACTAATAGATGAGAGAGATTTTGTTTTGTCATCCAAAATTGTATGGTAATTGCACCTGAAAGGATGAGGTAGTACATAGACAAGACCCAGAGAACAAAATTTTGTCAATGTACATATATATATATATAGACATGTATGTCTCTACATATGTACATGTGTGTATATCTATGTGCATATACATGTGTGTATATACACGCATTTGCTAGGGTTGCTCTGGAGGCGATACCTTCTATTTTATTGTGTTGGCCCACAGCGTCAGAGATGGATGTTGGTATTATGGCAGTAAAAGCTGAGCCTTCCCGACAGTATTGTTACATTTTGTTGCTGTATGACTGATGGCAGCAAGGAGCAGTCTGACAAAATGATGTCTGATGTGGAAGTGAGAGTGAAGCATAGGTGTGGAATTGAATCTCTTCATGTGGAAAAAGTTGCACCTATTTACATTCACTGACACTTGCTGAACATTCATGGAGACCAAACAGTGGGTGTGAGCAGAGTGAGGTTGTGGGTTGTGCATTTCAGCAGTGGTGGCAGTGATGTAAAAGAGAAACATTCAGATAACTTTGAGCGTAGTATGGAGGCTGTCAAAAATGCAGAACTAATGGTGGCAATTATATTGAAAAACAGCATTTTGTAGCTGAGAATTTGCTTTATCAAGTAGTGTTATTGTGCTCTTTGTATCAGTTGTAGTTTCTGTGAAAATATATAGGAGATGTTACTTTCAGAGCAACCTATGTATACACATACACAACTGTTTTTTCTTTCTTTAGAAGTTTGACTTGGAGGAAAGCACGTAGTGATCTTGATCAGATCGCTAGCTGAAACAGTTAAACAGCGTGACAGACAATGTGCTGAAGAGGGTCACAATCTGCAGATCATACCTCTTATGTTAAATGTGCAGATCTTACTTACTGCATGGAAATCTGTTATTTGAAGCAGCAATTTTGAGGAAACTGTGAAGGTCATAGTGGGTAAGTGGTAGCAGCAGTGTCACACTATTTAAGTTACCTCACTGACTGAAGGACTTCTGCAGTGTGGAAACAAGAAATTTAATAGGAAACAGTTTTGTTCTAGTTGTTACTAACATTTATTTCTCATTCTGGAAATGAAGAAAGAAGAATGTCCATAGGGCTATGAGCAGATTGAAGGGTGGAAAGTGAATAATATTTCTAAAGCAGGCTTAAGAGAGGCTTGAGATCGAGAAGAGAACGTTGGCTGTTCAAGCCATTCTTCATGGGCAACTGAAACTTCAGATGGTACTTCATTTAACAAACAGCCTTCAGCGGATAGGAGTTAAAGTTCTGGCAGCGTTCGTGCTTGTTTTTGAAAAAGAAAGTAACTGGAGGCCTCCGGGAGCTGCCAGAGGTCTCGGCGCTCTCCCCATAGGCCGGGCCCCAGCTGCAGGGCGGGCCGCTGCCGCCCAGCCCCGCAGAAGCTGCCGGCGCCGCCATGGTGGAGGCCTGGTATATGGACGAGTCCCAGGAGGACCAGCGGGCTCCCCACAGGCTGGAGCCCAACCGCGCCGTCAGCCTGGAGCAGCTGCGCCGCCTCGGCGTCGCCTACCGTAGAGTAAGCGGCGGGGGCGGGCGGCGCGGTCCAGGGGTCTGTGCCCCGGCACGCGGCCGAGGGGCGCCGCGCGGCGCCGGGCAGCGGTGCGCTGCCGCCGGGAGGCGGGCGGGCGCCGGCGGTGCGCGTCATGGCGCCGTGCCCCTGAGGCGGGAGGCGGCTGCGGGGTGGGCTGCGCCGGGGCCTTTTCTCACGTTGTCTGCCAGCGGTCCTCAGGGCTGCCTTACCCCGCTTGATTCCCACCCGAGATGGCGGCAGTGCCGCCACAAACGTGCGGGTTGGCGCTGAATCCTGAGGCGCAGCGCCCACCAGGGTGAACTGTGTTTTATACCAGACGTCTCCAAATGGTGGGATGGTTTGGTTGGGCATCACATATACCAGTACAGGTCAGCAGCTGACCCCCTGGAGAGAAGCTCTGTAGAGCAGGACTTACGGGTCCTTTAGCGTGCCATTGTGGCCAAGGCCAGTGGTACCACAGAATGGCCAGGATTGGAAGGGACCTCAAGGATCATGAATCTCCAACCCCCCTGCCACATGCAGGGCCACCAACTTCCTCATTTAATGCTAGACCAGGCTGCCCAGAGCCCCATCCAATCTGGCCTTGAACACCTCCAGGGACGGGGCATCCACAACCTCTCTGGGCAGCCTGTTCCAGCACCCCACCACTCTCTGTAGAGAATTTCCCCCTGACATCCAGCCTAAATCTTCCCTCTCTCACCTGAAAATCATTTCCCCTTGTCCTGCTGTTATCAACCCTTTCAAAGAGTTGACTCCCCTCCTGTTTATAGGCTCCCTTTAGGTACTGAAAGGATGCAGTGAGGTCACCCCTCAGTCTTCTTTTCTCCATGCTGAACAAGCCCAGCTCCCTCATTCTGTCTTTGTAGGAGAGGTGCTCCAGCCCCCTGATCATCTTTGTGGCTCTCCTCTGGACCCTGTCCAACAGCTCTCTGTCTTTCTTGTACTGGGGACTCCAGACCTGGACGCAGTACTCCAGATGGGACCTCACAAGAGCAGAGTAGAGGGGGACAATCACCTCCTTGTCCCTGCTGGCCACCCCTCTTTTGATGGAGCCCAGGATCCCATTTGCTTTCTGAGCTGCAAGAGCACACTGCTGGCTCATGTTAAGTTTTTCATCCATCAGGACCTCCAAGTCCTTCTCTGCAGGTATCCTGGGTTGCGTTAAAAAGAGTGCAACTAGCAGGTTTAAGGATCCCACTCCTCTGCTCTGGTGAGGCCACATCTGGAACACTGCATCTGGTTCTGAACTCCCCAGTCCAAGAAAGACAGGGAACTTCTAGGAGTCCAGAGGAGAGACACAAAGATGGTTGGGGCCTGGAGCATCTCCTTTATGAATGAAGGATGAGAGGCCTGGGGCTGTTCGGCCTGGAAAAAACTGAGAGGTGATCACATTAATGTTTATAAATTTCTGAAGTGCAGGAGTCAATTGGATGGGGCCAATCTTGTTTCAGTGTGCAGCAACAGGGTAAGGGGCAAAGGGCACAAATCCAACAGAGTTCCATCTAAACACGTGGAAGATTTTTACTGTGAAAGTGATTGGAGCACTGGAACAGTCTGCCCATACAAGTTGTGGAATCTTCTCTGGCTATATTCAAGATCTGCCTGAATGTCTACCTGTGTGACCTATTGTAGGGAACCTGCTTTAGCAGACAGATTGGACTTGATAGTCCCCACTGGTCCTTTCCAGCCCTTATGATTCAGTGATTTGTAAGAGACATTTCAAAGTATACTTCTTGGGGTGGTTCAAACAGAAGAGCTACGTGATGGATAATTTCTGGTACAAACCATAAATCAGCCATGCCTCAGCTGTAAAATGTATTCATTAAGAGCTCAGGATTTCTCTCGCCGATAATCATACCTCCTGGGCTTGAGAAGTGCAGCACAAGCAGTGCTGCAGAGTGGCAGTGCCTTGTGGGGATGGGGATGTGTGTTGGCGGTTGAGGCTCCAGCCTTTGAAGTTCTCTGCAGGCTGTGCAAGGTAAGGACATGCTGCAAGAGTTAACAAACCATAGCAAATCTTGCCATTCTGAAACCTCAGGTAACCTTCTGCTTGTCTGTTTTTAGCATCTCTCCCAGTTTCATAAATTTGGCATGAGAGCAGAAAAAGTGAAGTGTATCCAGAGCAGTTTATTAATTTCTGACACAATCAGCAAAGACCTCAAACCTATTACTTTCTAATTTAATCTTATTTGTTGCTGCTGTGCTGCTGCTGCTGGTGTGTGTGTGACAATAAGCTTGTGTGCTTGGCAGGTGAGTGATGCTGGGTGAGGAAGCAGTGCTGAAAGAACTGGTACCAATCCATATGTGTCTGCCAGCACTTCTGAACCTCAGAAATGGCTGCAGCAGCAGCAGGAAGGCTTCCCAGATGGCTTCAGTGGGGCTGATATAGGTAAATGCAGTGAATCTGGTGCCTGAATGAGAATCAAGTTGTTGAAGCATTATGGGAAGACAGGTGTGGTTTTCAGTGACAAGCTGACATGGGATGTCTGTGCTGGTTTTGAAAGCTCAGGTTTTTATCATTTTTGGCCTTCCTATGATAACTAAATAGTGATTTCTAGACTTATTAGTATCTGGTACATTACTGAGCATGCAGTAGTTGTGCTTTTGTGCGTTCACCTTTCTGTCTTGAAAGGCATTGGTATGTGCCTTGTGTACCTATAAGGAGCTAACGTAGCCACCCAGGTTATCTGCCTGCCCATTGACAACAACTTTGTTTTTCCACATTAGTATATTGAATTGTGTTTTAAGTGATTGTGTTTGAATGCATTTTTTTCCTGCCTATTTTTTAGTTGGATGCTGATAACTATGAGACTGACCCACGTCTGAAAGAGATTCGGGAAGCAGAAAATTATTCTTGGATGGATATAATAACTATACATAAAGACAAGCTGCCAAATTATGAAGAAAAGGTATGCAGGCCTTTACTTTGAATGAGGATTTGCACTCTGAATTCTGCTGCTAGAGTGCACAGTCAGCTTTTTAACGTGTGTTTATTGCATATGCTCTCAGAGATTAAATTCATGTTTAAAATACATCTTGTACTAAAGTCCTTAACTTTAGTAAAATAAATGCTGATACTATTTCTAGAACAAGGAAGGGGTAGGCCTTTTGTTTCTGTAGGTTGCCTGCAAAGTTTTTAGGCTACTTTCCATTGCTGTGCCATTTTGAAACTCAGAGCCCTGCAGATAGTTAGACACCCTAACGAGGGTGAAGGCAGGCTGTTGCCAGCTGTGCATGGGCTTTGAAGGCTGAGACATCCTGCTGGCTGTTGCAAAATATGTCTTCTCAAAATGAATGTTAACATCATGGAATTTGAGGGATATGTTTCCCTTACAAGATGATTTGTTAAGTTGGGAAGCAAACAGCTTGGCTATTTTGAAGCAGATGAACACAAGCAGTGCCAGGCCTTGAGCCTTCTAGAAGGAGTGTATTTTTCCCTGCCTCAGGGCACTGGACTGCTGTTCTGATCTGAATACGGCAGCCTGGTGACATTTCCATATTTCCGTTAAATCTGTCCTCTTACCAGTTTGTTTGAGGCCCATTATGTTACACTGACTTCAAATTTTTTACAAGGTGATTTACATAGTAACTTAAGTGCCCTGGATAAGTTCAGCATTATGCAAAGATAGGGTACTGCCATGCTGAATCAGTAAAGGCTGAGATGCGTTTCAGGCACGCCTGTGCTAGCATGGATAAAAAGTACCCGGACCCCTGGGTCTGGCTGACTGGATTGGCCGTTTTAACCCTGCTGGTTTCATCTGTTAGTTAAATCACTGCATCGCTGAAAGCCTTTGTCTGCTTTGCCAAATGTTTCAGCTAGATTCCTTTTCAGTTTTCCTATATTTGGTATTAATAGATACCTCCTATCCCCAGATAAAAACATTTTATGAAGAGCATTTACACCTAGACGATGAAATTCGTTACATCTTAGATGGATCTGGCTATTTTGATGTTCGAGACAAGGATGACAAATGGATCCGGATTTCCATGGAGAAAGGAGACATGATAACCCTCCCTGCTGGCATATATCACCGATTTACACTGGATGAGAATGTATGTTATCATAAATTACCCTAAATTTTGATGACAAATAGATGTGAGTATATATCTTATTGGTAACTGCATGCCCTGAGACTTGCAGCTCGTTAGCAAAGCATATTAAATATGAAGTAGGAATATGAAAAATACTAAATAATTCATAGCATTTGAACCTATCATCTCCAGGTCACAAATTCAGCTTAATCTCATCAGCTGGAACTGCAAGTCATTGCCACGTGGTATCCATAGCATACCTTGTGTGACAGTGGCCTGAGAGCCAAAGCCTGCAGCTGTCCCTCGCACAATTGCCCCCACTGTCAGCTGCAGTGTGGAGATCAATCCCTCTGTGTTGCGTGCCTTTGTAGGTCCAGACAGAGCATATCTTTGTACGGCAGTGGCATTCTTCATAAGTGCTAAATTCACCTTCAGGGAAAGAATGATTTAAGGCTGCAGAGCCACTGCATGCTGCTAGCGTATGCTAGATTGAATGCTGACTTCACAGGAGGTGACCTGCTTTTGGAGAGTATTTTGGCAGATGGATTGTGAGATTGCACACGTAGTCCTGATCTGTGTGCCTGCCCTTGTGGACTCTTACAAATACATTTTTAATCTTAGCATTAGCCCTGGTAGATAGGGAAATGTGTACTGTTGTCTCATGTGTGGCAGAAGTCCCTTTCTGGTATAGTCCTGAGTGTGGTATGATTTCAAATCAGATGTCTAGATAATGTTTGTTGTTTATGTAAATAATAATAATAAAGATTTTTAAAAAAGATGCTGTTTTGGTGATGTACCCAAGATTTCCTGTCTACATTTTGAGGTCTGTAGTGAATCTGCTATAATTGCTAGTTTAAGGCTTTTACTTTGCATAGACAAAATATGAGGGATTATGCAGTGAATCTACAAGACATTACAAATGTTTATGTTCACTTTGGGAACTTTAGTCTAGAAATGTTACTTTCAAAATCTCCCATAAATTCTTTAGGTACTTCTAAACCCTTGAATTTTGAGGCTAAATTTTTTAGGTGCCTAATTTTATTCTTGACACTGCTGAGTATACAAATGCAAGATAAGCACTTAGCAGCGTTTACAATATAGGTAAGGCTTAAACCTATAGTGTAGCTGGCAGTAGAGGAGAGATGAGTTCCCCATAACTTAGTGGTTGGAGCATTTCTGTGGGATGTAGTCCTCCATTCTGCTACCACAGCTTCACATTCCTACCTGACATGCTTCTGGCTGACTGGTGGCCTACTTCTTCTTTTGAAATCCGGAGAGTTTCGCTTTCTGCAGTGTTGTTTTTTGGCTGGTTTATGCATTGAGCTTTTTGTGGCCCTCATTATGAAGCTTTTGATATTCCTCAGTCATTTTGTAGAGATCTTGGGTCTTCTGATTTTTTTATTGTTTAACTGAGCAAATAGGAATTAGATGCTGCTCTGCTTGGTGCTGTGGATCTAGTGCAAAGTGATTTGCATAAAACAGGATTTATTTGGTTTCTTTTATCGGGTGTAAGTACTGTCTGCCCACTCTGAAGGCATTGGTTGTGATACAATATATATCCCTGCATAGGTGCAGCAGCATCATGCTACAATGTTCTGGGACACATGAAGTTTTCAGTCCATCTTGAAATGGATTAAGAAATTGCTGCATAAATGCAAATTAAAACATTAATTTCAGGATTTGCCACAGAAAGGAAATCTGAAATTACCTGTGACTTTTTGTTCTTTGACAGAACTATGTGAAAGCAATGAGGCTATTTGTTGGAGAACCAGTCTGGACAGCATACAACAGACCAGCTGATGATTTTCCTTCTCGGAAACAGTATATGAAGTTTTTGGCTGAAGAAGCACAGTAATGATGTCTGAGACCTGACAGGTGGAACAGCCTGAAGCCAAATAGAATTAATGTGATTGGTGTTCTTTCAACTGATTACACTACTAGTTGCATATACACTTAGAATCACAGAATCATAGAAAAATTTAGGTTGAAAGGTCATTTGGAGGCCATCTAGTCCAGTCCACTTTGAAGCATGGAGCCAACTTCAAAATTAGATATATAGCCTCTTGGGTTTTGAAAACCTCTGGTGCAGGAGACTCCACAGCCTGTCCAGGCACCTCTTCCAGTGCTCAGCCACTCTCACAGTCAGGAAGTTTGTTTTTTTTTTTGGCCAAATCCCCTGGCACAGCTTATGATTGTTTTTTTTTGCCTTGGAAAGAATCTGGCTCTGCCTTCTTTGCAGTCCCTTCTCTAGTGGGAAACTCTGGTTATGTCTCCTCTCAGCCTTCTCATCTCCAGGCTAGACAAACAAGTATCCTAACTGGACTTTGGCAATCCAAATTGTTTATGAAGATAAACATGATTTTCTTTGTTTCTGACTACTGAGGAATGTCGCTTGTAACTAGCTGACAGTTAAACTTGAATGATTGACTATTCCTAGTCCAATGGCCCAGAATTTTTTCACCCACTGCGCAGTCGATATCCTCAGCCTGACTACAATGCTACAGTGGGAAACAGTTGAAAGCCTTACTGCAATACACTGTTTTCCTCTGCTGCAGAGCCAGTTATTTTCTCTGAGAGGGCCCATGGGATAGTCAGGCAGAATGTGCCTCTGGTAAATTGGTGCTGACCTTATGTTTTCAATCTCCTATCTCTTGTGCCTAGAATGGCTTCTGTAATGGCTTGTTATAGAATCACAGAATCATTAACAGTGGAAAAAACTACTGAGATCATCAAGTCCTACCCACCATTGTGCCCCTCTGTGCCATGTCTACCCTTTTCTTGAACAGCTTCAGAGTCGGTGACTCCACCACCTCCCTGGACAGTCTGTTCTAATGCCTCATCACTCTGAGAGGAAATGTTTCCTAACATCCAACCTGAGCTTCTCCTGGCCTTTGAGGCCATTATCTGTCAACCTATCACTGGTTACCTGGGAGAAGAGGCCAATTCCCACCTCGCTACAACCTCCTTTCAGGTGCTTGTAGAAAGTGAGGTTTCCTCTGAGTCTCTTCCAGATTATTATTTCATAGTTTGAATGAGGACTGAAGTAAGGCTGGCCAGCCTCTATTCCCCCACATCCTATTATTCTCCTATTTGAAGATGGCAGTAACAGTTGCCTTTTTTGGGCCAAGATGATCTCCATGATCTCTAGGACCTTTCAGAGATGCCTTGCAGTGCCATTAGCCATCTACATTTACAGTTGCTCAGGAATCCATTTTCTGACCTTTTTGGCACGTAGACTTGGGAGAGCTGGGCTCCATTAATATTCATTCTGCTCTGAATCGGTGCTAATGAACTACGTAGGATTCTGTTTTTAATTAAAGAGAATAAGCCCTACTTCATTCTTGTCTAAAAATGTTCATAAGATAAATTTACATAATCAGCATTTTAGCATGCAGCCTCCCTCATTCTGACCTAGTACATAAAGCTTTGGTTTTCTCTCAGCAAAATGTAGCAGTTTTCTCCTGTGATTTATTAATAAAATTAATTTGACTTTGGGGTATGTGGTTTTCTTTCTTTTTTTTTTTCTTTTTGTCTTATGCTGATATTAAGGACACATGAGCAGCACTGTTACTGCAGCTGTTATTCAGCATTTATTTTCCTTGGTCATGTTTCTCTGTAGCACTGGATGAGTCACTAATTGTGTGCCTCAGTTTCTTCAGCTGTGAAATGGAGTGGACTTAAACCTGCAGGTCTATCTTTCAGTAGATGCCTTGCAGTTATGTGAGATGTGCTGCTCCTCAGCAACGGGCACAGAGTGGTTTTGGGATGAGTGCTCACCCATTTTTGAAGGGAAATGGTAAAAGCTTTTATTTTAAAAGTTGAGTAAAAAAAGAATAGTTCTGCCTTTGGATTTTGGACTGCAAGGTAGCAAAAGAGGCAGGTGCACCATGTGTTTATGTTGGCAGTGTTGGGCTCAGTTTGTGCAGTAGGGTGCATGCACAACTCACATTTACAAAGTGAAAGCCTGAATTAGCTTTTGTGCCAGGTTTCCTAAGCCTGGCTGAAAACCAGTTACCAGCACATACAAAGTTTAATTAGAGTCAAGTCCTTTGGTTAAACTTGTATGGTTGCATGTATGAACCATGCCATGTGGTTCAGGGATCTGTGTGCCATGGCCGTGGTACTGGAGTGCCACTCCAGGTACTGGAGTACCCTCTTGTACAGCACTAAATGCACTGAGGCACCCTGGACCTGGGATAAACGTATGGGATTTTTCTAGATACAGGTACAGGATTAAACAACGATGATTGCCAGCAACAGATTTTATTTATTTGTCTCATATGCCACAGGAAGTCATATTTCTGAACACAATGTAAAAATGACTCCTTTCTCCTGGTGCTGCTCTTAATTCATGGTATCCAATCAAACTTCTCTTCCCCTTAAACAGAAGTCCGCACAAGACTGTTCATTCCTCCTCCACATACAGCACCATTACCCCACAGCAGAACAGAGCCACCAGAAAGAGACCAGGCAATGCCCTCTGCTCGTGAGAGACTTACAGTGTGGGAATGAGGGGATAGATACAGGAAAGGAGCTGCCCACTGCAATTGCTTTCAACATCCCACTGATATAGAGTGTGACCTCGGAAACAGGGCTGAACCACCTTGTTTTGTTGCCTCTCTGGAGGAATATAAACACCCAGTACAGCTCCCATCTCCGAGCTGTCAGGAATAACACACGATAACACCACCAAACACCATTCATCATTTTCATAGCACAATGCATTCTGTCACTGAGGGGTGGCTGTGACTGTGAGAGTCTCACTGTGAGCGCTTTTAAACACATGCCCTTTAGTGCTGTAGGTGTTCTTGAAAGGCTGAAAGCTTTGCTATCCAGAAGTATTTTTGTCAGCCAGGAAAAAAGCAATTTGGGGCCAGTAAAAGGATCCTGTGAAGAGCTTGCATGGGAGATTACACTGGGGGGAAAAATGTTAATATTAATAGAAAACACTCCAGGGAGTGGAGGGAGAACATGCAGTTCCTTTAGATGAGAAATGCTGTTTATTTTTATAGCATTTTTTTCCCCACATACTACATATCTAAAAGTGAGAAGTGAAATCAATACTTTTTGGTCCAAAGACATGAGTCTGTTTACTGCAGTTAGTGGAAAATCTCAGTGCATTGAAGTAATATTAAAATTTATGTAAGTGTTTCCAGCCACGTCATATTGGCAGCAGTAACACAGATGAGGGGAATATTTCAGCTGCTTCAGGATTAAAGAAAAAAAAGGTAGGATAAATGGTTCTGCATTGAGGGGTTGGAGGATAGTTTGTAGGGTATCTGTGTATTATTTTTCACATTAATGCAGACTTGTTCCTAAGTGGCATGTACATAACTTTATCATGACCAGCTTGTGAGAGCTTAGCCTTGTTTTCTGCCATAAACTCAAGGAAAGCTGGTCAATGGTCCATTTACTAAATTAGATGGGCAAACAGGTGGTCACAGAACCCATGACTTTGGCCTCCTTTGTTATGTATCCCCAGGTAAGTGTCTTTGGCTGAGATAAGAGAGACATGGACCTGTTGGAGCTTGTCCAGAGGAGGGCCCCCAAAATGATCCAAGAGATGGAACACCTCTCCTACAAAGACAGGCTGAGATCTGGGGCTGTTCATTCTGGAGAAAAGAAGGTACTGAGGAGACCTGAGAGTGGCCTTTCAGTATCTACAGGGGAGCTGTAAAAAAATAGAGAGCGCTTTTTATCAGAATCTATTGAGATAGAACAAGGGGAAATGTTTTTTAACTAAGAGAAAAGTGAATAGATTGGATATAAGGAAAAGGTTTTTTCTTACGATAAGGGTAGATAGGCACTGGAAAGGGATGCTAGGTGAGGTGGTGGTTGCCCCATGTTTGGAGACACTTGAGGTCAGGCTGGATGAGGCTCTGAGCAACCTGATCTAGCTGTAGGTGTCCCTGTTCATTGCAGGGAAGTTGGCCTGGATGGCCTTTAAAGGTCCCTTCCAACTCAAACGATTCTGTGATTCACTTGGCGTAGCTGGAAGCCTTAGTGCTGGGACATGTCACAGCCAGTCGGCAGTTAACTAACAGAATCCACACCAGGTACTCAGTCCTGTGCATGCTGCCTGTAGGTATGTACAGATGAGATCTTCAGTCAGCTGGCTGAAAGAAGTGCTGATGGAAGGGCTGTCCCAGCCTGCGCTGCAGGGTGCAGAGGCTATACTGCTTTCTGTGATTGCAGGGCTTGCGGATGGCTGTTGGCTGCTGAGCTTGAAGAGAAAAAATCTTCATGTATTCAGAGTATTGAGCTCTGCCAGCAGAGTAGGCACTTTCCTGCCTAGTTTCTGACTCCAGATTTAGCTTGAGATAAAAATCTATTGGAAGGGACAGTTTCACGACAAAGGTGATCATTTAATATTGGCTGGAAGAGAGAGAAGCATATAAAGGCTGAGGTGGCAGCTGAGCAACACACTGGAAAATGTCCCTCGTTGCTGAACAGTGGATTTATATGTAGGTCAGACAGACACTGGGAACCTGTTCTGTTCTATGTTCAGAAATTACATCATCTGTTTGGGATTTTGTCTTCTGAAAATGATAGAAACTCTCAAAATCCCCTCTCTCCCCAAAACAAGGTCACTGTCAGTTGTCTTGTTTCCTGAAGCCAAATAAGCGCACCAAGACAATGGGGAATGAGGCAGTGTTACCATTTAAATATTCCTCGCTCGGAGATCTGTATTTGATCTGAATTGCTGCACTCACTGTGACTTTACGATTTGATTCCCCAAACATTTTGCATTTGCAAAAATGTACTCAGATATACTTGTAACTTGAAAAACCTGTGATTCTATGCAAGTCTCAAGCTCTCATTTTGGTAAGTGTGTTAATACCCAGACAAGACAAAGAAAGAAAACGCTGAAAATTAAAAAGCTTGGGCAAAGATTCAGCAGTTAAAGGGATGAGGACATCTTTTAATGGTGGCTTCTCCTGCTGTTACTCTCTGTGGGATACTCCCACTAATTTTGAAAAGTTCCCTGCCATTTAATTACCCTCTATTCTGCTTGTCAGAGTACCAGTAAGTAAGTTGTGCTTATCAATGAGCCGCATCTACTGGTGGAAAGTTGGACTAAGTCTGCTTCTGGTGGTGGCTGTATGGTCCTGCCACCCTGCTAAATAACAGCCCATTTTCTCCCTCCCTTTGTGGGTAAATTGTGAGCTGTTGTTGCTGGCTTTCAGCTTATTTATTTATTTATTTATTTATTTTTATTATAATGATGGGCACTCTCATATATATATAACAGAGGATTGTCTGCA